GTGTGTGGGCGTGCGTGCGTTCGTGTGTGTATGTGTGTATGTGTGTGGGCGTGCATGCGTGCGTGTGTGTATGTGTGTATGTGTGTGGGCGTGCGTGCGTTCGTGTGTGTATGTGTGTATGTGTGTGGGCGTGCATGCGTGCGTGTGTGTATGTGTGTATGTGTGTGGGCGTGCGTGCGTTCGTGTGTGTATGTGTGTATGTGTGTGGGCGTGCATGCGTGCGTGTGTGTATGTGTGTATGTGTGTAGGCGTGCGTGCGTGCGTTCGTGTGTGTATGTGTGTATGTGTGTGGGCGTGCATGCGTGCGTGTGTGTATGTGTGTATGTGTGTAGGCGTGCGTGCGTGCGTTCGTGTGTGTATGTGTGTATGTGTGTATGTGTGTATGTGGGCGTGCGTGCGTGCGTTTGTGTATGTATGTGGGCGCGCGCGTGTGTAGGTGTGTTTACCCATCATTCTACATGATTCCGCTTCAATGGTAATTAAATCAATGACAACGACAGGAAACGAAAGAAAGCTCATCACGGCTAATTTCTAGATTAGCACCATATATCAATCATCGGCTGGTACACATGAGCGCACGCGCCCCACTTCGCACGTACCCCAAGACACCCACCGCACACATCCACACACCCACGCATTCACGCACATATAGACACAATGTATAATCGAAACTTTTCTATATAGCTGTTAGGGTCTAACCCAGAAATAAGTGCAAGCACCTTGCATAGATGTGAAAAATGTGAGATAGTGTGATTGTGTTGAAACGTGATTTCTAATCTAGTCATTTGTTGGCATTGTTATCTGTGGCGGATGTATGCGGGTATCGACTCTATGGACCGTGTACAACAAGAACAATAAATGTATCGAGCATATAGTCAGCGATTTCTTATTCACCATTATTGCTAATCGCAATTATGGGAACGTGGGGCAGTAATTACGTCACTACGTTCGTAATTATTCTGTCTTATAGGCAATCATATCGCGCAGGCTCTGTGGTGTAACGAATTGGAATTTTGATAGAAATATTATACGAAATGTTCAGGGTAACTCCTACGTGCACTGTCAGAGCGCACGTGCATGCACGAGCGCCTATGTCTAGCATTTGTACATGCGCGCGTGCGTGCATGTGTGCATGCATGCGTACGCGCTCGCGTGTGTGTGGAATTGTCGTTAGTTAGATAGTTAATTATAGTTACTTGTAAATGTGAGTATTCTGTTTAATAGTAACAACTATATACAGTACGTACACGTAAGAACATCATTATGACCTTACTATATTGAGGTGAGGTCGGTCGTTTAATTGACTGGAGAAGCTTCCATGATGATATTACCTACGATGAATTAGTTACATCTAGAGGACGTATATGACCGCCATGCACACGACTAGAGTAATTGCTGCACTGCCCGCTTATGCAGTCATACCATCTCCATGGAAGCGGCATCTGGCTTTCTTTTTCAAAGAATTTGCCCGTCTTCAATTTGGGTTTTACAAACCATGTTTGACAAAGCCAACAAGAAGATGACTCTAACTTGAAGGCGGTCGACTTGTGGTACGTATACACACAGATGATGACACTCTGTGAGTTATACTCTATGAGTTATACTCGCGTACTCACCCGCACTGGCACACGCGCAGTGCAGCTACTATTCATGAGGTATTGATAACCTGGCTAATTTATTGGCTTCTTAATTAGTAGCTCCATGAAGTAAGTAAATTACTTCGTCCAGTGAGCGCGGTCAGTACATCCAACCATGTCCTGCACAAATGATACATGTGAACGGAACTATAGCCACCGTCAGATTAAATTCGTAGCAAATAAAACACTCTAAAATTAAGCAAATGTAACCAACTTTTTTTCCTGGATAATTTCGTTCTAGTAATGTTTAAGCGAATCTACGCAATGAATAATTGAAGTGCTTATCTCCCATCTTTAATGCTTAATATCGTGTTATTCTTAATTTTATTTTATTGTTTTCGAATGAAAATATTTTACCCGATAATTCCGTTAGCGCTGATTATGTTTGCGGTTTATGTATCTGACAGTTGCACATGTGCGCAGCCACTCGTAGAGTATACTCACTGTTCTCCACTCCATATCTCAACTATATCGTGGAGCTTTGGTCGCGCTGTAGCTGCGGCTGTGAGCTGTCGCAGCTCGTTGCGAGCCGTCTTAATTCCTCCCGCGAAGAACGCGGGAATCTCTGCAGGCAGGTGGGAAGCCGCCGTCCTGTGATGCCGATGGTCGCAGGATCACGTAGCAGCGACACCCACCACTTCAGTATCATTCGCGGCAGCTTTTGTGCGGTGCCGTGCTGCGATGGCATCGTCTTACCGAATATATGTTCCGCCGAGACCACAATAAGCAGCTATGACTATACCGACTTCCTGCGAGTAGTCGAAATTTACGTATATATAGTTATGTATTTGTTAGGGTTCTAGGGTTTCGTTGCACCGTGCATGCAACATCTGGCAGGTGAGCACTGTTCCCCTCTACAAAGAACAAAGCGGCAATCTAATCAATCGGTATCTAAAGACAAGTTGGGTGCGAATAAACTGTGCCGAACAATTGTTTAATTGGGGAAGACAAACAGTAGAAGAAAACTGTTTATTGTTGTGATGTTCCCCAACTTGTGCGCATATATTCGATGCTACATGCGCGTTTACGTCTCACGGTGTCATACGATACGTGTACCTTAGCCGCTTATCACTCATTCAACATCGAAATGAGCGCGATTAAATATACTCCATCACCATGTCCAACAGTCTATTTGTTTAAGCATTGTGATCCCGTTTCATCGAAGTCTTCTCGATGACTTGCACAATTAAGCACAAAGACGTTTCATTCTTCAACAAATAACTTAGATATCGATTTACGATTTACGTGGACAGTTCTAGGGGCTCTATCCAATTTCCAGCTCGATGGCTAGTAGAAAGTCTGAAATGCCCTAGCCGTTATCCTAACCCCTTATGAAGACAAATTCCGACTTTAGGAAAATTTCAGTCCTAAACACTTCATCGACACTATCATTCGGACCCCGTGACATGTTCTCCCCTGTCATAGACTGTAATTGCGTCATAGTTATGTCTTGGTTACATTGCGAGTTATATTTAGTAATTCTTACTAAAACCTAAATCGTGAAAAACGCGTCGTTAACATTATGACAGTATTTGCCTTATCACAATCCTAGACATGGATCGCTAATCCTGGGGTTTCTCAAAGCTAAAAATGTACAGGGGTAATTAACAGCTATTTAAAGAAATAACTGACGTTATTCCAAAAAAACTACTAAGAATAGATATTTTTAACGATTTTCCCAAGATATCGTCAAAACGGTTTCTATATTGAGAGATCCTATCCGGCGAGGATCATGGCTTAGAGAAGTTCACGCTCGACTAACTACAAGACGTGTGCTTCATTTAAAACTATAGAGGCAAGGAATCTAGCATCTCTTTGCATCGTATAATGAGACACCTTCTCACAGTCAGCTGTTAGTTGGCAATTAGTCAGGATTTTTTGCTTACCAGCATCCAACATCATATTTTTTCAGTGTTCCTGATCCTGTTCCCTCATCATTTGCGGTTCAATAAACTACAGTTCATTAGATTTATCGCCAGTCGCAGTACCATACACAACACTGATTCTATATGAACTTTCAGTGACATCTGACGGTGGATTTTAGCAACCTCGGAAGTTGCGCGTCACGCAGTCATAGAATTTGTACACGTGCGTTATTAGCTTTAGCTTTCAGAGCACGGTCGCTGACAAGTTTGTTTGGCTTTTCTTGCACTAAACTTTCGCGGCAATAATACACACTATTACACAGGTTAAAATGTAAATGGCTCGTGATAAAATTTGACAGTTAAAGTTAATGGAAAGCAATATATTCGTGTTTCTATGAATTCAACTGCTTTTTGTTGAAGGCTATTGCATATATATGGGCACTCAAACAGAAAAGACATGTATCATCACTACGCAAGGAAATAATTATAAGTTTCTTGACGCACTCGTATGCTAAACAACCATTACCATATCCACAGATCGGGTTTTCGTTTCGGTGTTCCCAAGAAGGTCAACAACGGCGCTACAATATAGGTCATATAGATGTGTTCAGTGTTTATATCGCCCGTTGTAATAGTTAGGTTCAATGGCATTTAATAACTGCCAGCTGAATGTCTTTTAGCAGGGATTCGGGTTTAAAACTATTTGTATCTCACGTGCCACTCCTGTAGGTGCCTATATTGTATAAATTACAGCGATTATTCTGGCAGTCCATATCCAGTAGGCGGCAAGTTTAAGTGTCTATTTCATTTCTAACGAAAACAGAGACCGGTTCTTCTCACTTCTTTTTAAACACACACGAATTTTCTATGGTAGAATTTGTAAAAATTTTGTTGCCATTTTTTTACATTAAAAGTAAGAACTAACGGGACTAAACGTATCGTCAAGTTCTTACCTGATAAGATTGTTTCTCAACTAGTTAAAAATCCAAAAAACCTAGACGATTTGATATTATGTTCCTGACATTAATTGTTTGCTATGGGCTATGTATGAGTCACGAGTGTATGATTCACATCGAACAATATAGTAAAATTGGAAGTATAATGCAGCAATTTAATCATAAAAAGTGAACAGAATTACTTATATTTTGTGAAAAAGTGGATTTTTTTTTAATTTGTACTATTTACGGTGATGTAATCACTTTAAAGCTTTATGAATACATATTAATATGTAATATAAGCTGAGAATTAACATATTCATGACAGTTTACGCGTGTATATTGTATAGTTGGTTAAATGCTTTAGATCAATGAACTAGTGGCGACACCTTTTGGAATACATGGGTATTTTACACACACACGCGCGCGCGCACGCACGCACGCACGAATACACACACACACACACACACACACACACACACACACACACACACACACACACACACACACACACACACACACACACACACACACACACACACACACACACACACACACACACACACACACACACACACACACACACACACACACAACACACCACACCACACCGACACCGACACACACACACACAACACACCACCACACAGACACACAACACATATAGTATATATTGCCCACTTATATATATCGTGGCGAGCGCGTATATATATAATATATATATACGATCATTTCATAAAGTTTGTTGAATAGAAACTTCATGGGTTTGTGAGGGAAAAGTCGACCGATCTTTCAAAATTATTTCTTGAGGAAAAACGTAAAGTTTTATACAGTCTATTTTAATAAATAATAGCATGTGTATTATGCCGCATATTCCATAGTCGGTATCGGATAATAGCAATGCGAGGCGACTGACACCGATTGTTCGTGGCTTCAACGTGTAGTTGGCTGAGCGCCAGAGTCGTTTCAGAACATAATCGATGTCTAAACTGAGCACTCGGAGGAGCCACAGACCGCCGCAAGGCAGTCCCCTGAAATTCTCTCAATCCGTTAAAGTATTTGATTAATTAATTAATCTAATTAAGTGAAAAATTAATTACATTAATTACAATTAATAATTAATTGGATCCGATTAGTGGCGAAGCGTGCAGGTGGGAGCTGTGTACGCTTGGCCCCTTAGCCTTGTGGTTGGTGTTTGTAAGGTTACAGCCAGCGCACCCTAGCGGAAGTGAACTGAACGTGCATGGTAACACACACACACACTTGATCCTATAATATAATTATGATTTATTAGTAGAGTACTTTAGAGTACCATACTAGTATTGTATACCTACTTTATCGTATTTCTATCATAGTATTTTATACCATACTAGTACTGATTGTAGTACTAGAGATATAGAGTATCAATTACGAGTTACGTTTATGATACTCTTATGAATATTATTTATAGAGATCAGTGACACACACACAATGGCACGCCGGTGACATTAACCTCCGCCACGCCCTGGCGGAAGTAATAATCTTATCTTTAAAGGCTCTGGCCGTTAAGCTTTAGTTGCAGAAACTAGAGTTTATGGGGGCCGCAAGAACAGCAATCAAATTATATTCGAAGATTTTATCAATTGTTTCTAAATATATTTTATGTCCTTGATTAACACGCGGGTGAGCGACTATCCAACTTACCTGCAAAAGCAATAATTCGGTGCACGATCGACGCAGGAGTGTGAGGACGGGCGGAGTCAGAACAAGGAGAACACGTGATTGATATGTAAGGGTTATGTCGGCGACATAACTGGAGATTCTTCTCCGGACGAGACGTGCTTTGGATTGTTCTAACAACAGAATATGTGGACTGTAAAGAGGCACTCGTCTATCGCTGATTAGCGCGACGTTTATGCATTCACCAACACGTAAAAACCCTTGCAAGCAGGAGATTCTCGCAGCTGCTGAGAATATTCGACTAATCCAAGCTCGGGCCCGATTTTGTACTAAACGTAATTTACTGCTTTTTAACAACACGATCGCTCTCAGGCGAATCCTGCCTTCCCGGTAAAAGAATCACCTGTGTCGCGTCCGTGGGTGAGCGAAGCTGACGATCATCTGGCGTGTGGCGCTTTCGCCGATGCTGAACGGCAGCACATCGATCGCTGTCGCCCGACCGTCTAAACATTAATACAGCAGCACGTCCCCCGCGCGCCGGCTCGCCAGCTGATTTCCAATCAATCCACGGCCGTGCTCCAGCGGGGGCGTTCGCACGCCCGACGCGCCGCTTACGGGTCTCGATTCCGGTTGCCATGTGACGCGAATCACTCGCAATTCTTTGGCCGCTACTCGGTGGCGCGCCGTCGACCTCCGCATGATTATTCGTGACTGTTACGTCCCGTCGCGCGCGAGCCCCGTGAGAGCGACACGAGGATCGTCTCAACCGCGTGTCGTGTTCCATCCCTGCCGGCAATCGAGCCTGTTAGGTATGACGTGTCAACGCTGCTACATTCCCGACACTCGGCTACCCGTGTTAGCGGTGTGTAAGAGGAGGGACGGGTACTAGCCGCGATCGCGCGTGACCATCAAGCACGACTACGGGGCTGACCTCGCCTTACCGTTGCAAGGCGCCGAGGCTAACGGATCCCTGTGAGCAGTTCTGTATGCTTCGCCGCGCATTAATCGAGCGCGTGCCCTGCATAAATTATCCCGCCGCACAGGCTGCTGTGCTCTCTTACACGCGCGAACACTTTGCCTAATTCTAGTTACCACGTGGCTAATTTTCGTACCCAGCAGCCTTACGTGGTGTCTGTGTTGTGACTGTGTGTGGTATGCATGTGTGGGCCATGTGTCGCGGTAATGGAATAGAACACTTTGTTTTCACATGGCCTAAGCATTTATAATGGAAAATGCACGGCTATTTTAGAAAATCTAGCATAGCGTACGTCGATTGAGGCTGCCCGCATTTTCGAATGATGATTCTGGCTGTCTCCGCTATGTTAATTATCACCGTTTTACACTTAATGCCGGTGTGGCACAATATCAATTATGGGAAAGTTTTATATAGACGTTGCATTAGGTCACGGGCCGCGTAAGCTCAAGACGAATCAACTTGGGGCCGGTCACCTGGTTCAGCACGATGTTACGAGATACTCGGGCCTGTTGGTGTTAGCTATATTATCCACGGTGCGTCGCCGTGTGTGCGTAGCATCAGGCCACTTGGGACCGTTTCAATAATAAAATGATGTTAATAAATACAACTTGTCAGTAAATATATAGTACACCCTACAGTACCTAGTACAGCATAGTCTTAATGTTTGATATAACTTCATTCAACACCGTCCAATTACACGCTGCAAACACATAGCCCGCACGCCATTGTGCATGCACAGATACACAGTTAGGAACATTCTAACCTACTGTGTATCTGTAGCATGCACAATGCGGCGCTGCGGGCTTATTGTGCAGCGTTGGATACTTGGACGAGTGTTTTAAGTGAGTTATATCAAACATTTAAGACCTATTGCTGGTACTGCGTGCTGGTTAGGGTAGAAAAAAAAAACACAACTCTAGTAGTCGAGTACTGACAAGTTTATTTATTACCATCATTTCATTTATTTATTTAAACGCGGTCCAAGTGCCTGCGTAGCGGCGTGAAGTGCACCAACGTGCGTGCGTGGCGTGCGTTCCATGTTATGTGACAGATTTGAACGAGAATTTATATTTTGAGCACTGTGGTAGTGTGTAGGTGGTTACTGGTGTTTTTAGAAATTGTATTGAGCTGCCCAATAGAGCCTATATGTGGCCATGCTAATTGATACTAATGATTCAATTAAGGCTTGAAAATATTAATCAGCGTCTCCCTCCTCTCTCTCTCTCTGTCTCTGTCTCTGTCTTCTGTCTGTCTGTCTCTGTCTCTGTCTCTGTCTCTGTCTCTGTCTTGTCTCTGTACTGCTGTCTCTCGTCTCTTGTCTCTGTTCTCTGTCTCTGTCTCTGTCTCTGTCTCTGTCTCTGTTCTCTCTCTGTCTCTGTCTTCTGTCTCCTTGGTCTCTGTCTCTCTCTTCTCTCTCTTGCTCTCTCTCTCTCTCATCTCACTCTCTCCCTCCCTTCCTCCTCCCTCCTCCCTCTCTCATCTCTCTCTCTCTCTCTCATCTTCTCTCTCTTCTCTTCTCTCTCTCTCCTCTCTCTCTCTCTCTCTCTCTCTCTCTCTCCTCTCTCTCTTCTACTCTTTCTTCTGCTCTCTCCTTGCGCATCTCGTCTCCCTCCTCCTCTCCTTTCTCTCTCTTCGCTCTCGCTCTCTCTCTCCGCTCTCTGCTCTCCCGTCCCTCTCTCTCTCTCTCTTCCTTCCCTCTCTGCTTTTCTCCCCTCCCTCCCTCCCTGGCCCCTCCCTCCCCGCTCCTCTCTCTCCCTCGCACTCTCTCTCTCTCTCTCTCTCTCCTCTCTCTCTTCCTCCTCTCTCCTTCTCCTCCCTCTCTCTCTCTCTCTCTCTCTCTCTCTCTCTCTCTCTCTCTCTCTCTCTCTCTCGTCCTCTTCTCTCTCGCTCTCTATCTTCTTCTTCTTCTTATTCTCTCTCTCTCGATCTCTCTCTCTTGCTCTCTTCTACTCTCTCACTCTCTCTCTCTCTCTCTCTCTCTCTTCTCTCTCTCTCTCTCTCTCTCTCTCTCTCTCTCTCGTCTCTCCCTCTCTCTCTTCTCTCTCTCTCTCCTCTCTGGCTCTCCTCTCTCTCTCTCTCTCGTCTTCTCTCTCTCCTTTCATCTCTCTCTCTCCTCTCTCTCTCTCCTCTCTCTTCTCTTCTCTCTCTAGTCTCTCTCTGCTCTTCTTCTCTCTTCTCTCTCTCTCTCTCTCTCTCTCTCCTCTCTCTCTCTCTCTCTCTCCTCTCTCTGTTCTCTCTCTCTCTCTCTTCTCTCCTCTCTCTTCTCTCTCTCTCTCTCTCCTCTCTCTCTCTCTTCTGCATTCTCTCTCGCTCTCTCTCTCTCCCACTGGCACACGCCCACACGTCCTAACTCGCCACCTCATTTCTCCTGCAGACGAACGATCATCCCGTCGTGGCCGCCAGGGGTCAGCACCAGTGAGCGATGGGTCGCGGCGAGGTGAAGGGTCCCGGCAGCGAAGCTAGCGACGCTGCCGACCCGGCGAAGGCGTACTACGCGACGGGCGTCTACGGCTGGCGCAAGCGCTGCCTCTACGGCTGCGTGCTGCTTCTGCTCGTCCTCATCATCGTCAACCTGGCGCTCACCGCCTGGATCATGAAGACCGTCGACTTCCACGTCGGTGGCCTCGGCCGGCTGCGCGTGAGCGACGCCGGCGTGATCGTCGATGGCGACGCTGAGTTCTCGGGTCCCGTGCACGCGGCGGGCGTGCGCTCGCGCGACGACGACGCGCTGCGCGTCGACTCGGCGCGCAACGTGACGGTGAGCGCGCGCGACGGCGCGGGCCGCGTGACGACGCGGCTCGTCGTCGGCGACCGCATGGCGCAGCTCTTCTGCCAGCACTTCGAGGTTCGCGGCGGCAGCGGCGACGATCGGCCGTACTTCTACGTCAACGAGCACGAGATGTACATCGGGCCGCGGCGGCTGCGCGTCGCCGGCCTGCAGGGCTCGGCGTTCGCCGACGCCGTGCAGACGCCGCTCGTGAGCGCGGGGGACGGCGACGAACTGCGCTGCGAGGCGCCGATGGGTCACGTGAGCCTTGAGGCTCCGGCCGGGGTCAACGTGCACTCGGCCAGCGGCAACGTCGACGTGTCGGCCGCCGGCGACATCCGGCTCAAGGGCAGGAAGGTGACGCTGGACGCAAACGACGTCGAACTGACCGGCCTGCCCGCGGCGACGCGGTCCGGCGGCGGCCGGTCCGGCGACGACGTATTTCAGGTGTGCGTTTGTCAGAGCGGACGCTTGTTCCTGGCCGCGCCCAACGTCAACTGCAGAGCAAGTCGAGACATCTGCCAGTGAGGGCGGGCTGCGTAGGCCGCTCTGGTTTCATCGACGAAGACCGTGGATGTAGTGGCGGTGACTGTTAGCGCGTGTAACGACGATAACTGTACAAAATATCAGCCAGTACGCGTAACCATGACAACTGAAAAGGCGCCTGCTGGTGATGATAACTAGGAAGTGCGTTCAACTGGTTGGCTTCAGCAACTGATGAAGAAAATCCAGCAATAATATGAGGGATTCTAGGCTTAGTTGTCTTCGTTTTTCCATTAGCATGTCAGTTTATATCTATTTACACACAGATGCAAACAGACACACACACACACGCGCGCACACACACACACACACACACACACACGCACGCATGCACGCGCACCACACGCGCACGCTAGCAGGCACGCACAAAATGTTTGTGTTTCTCTGTCATTACTTCTTGCTCCCAAACATCTGCTTGTTGTAATATAATATGTGTAAGATGATATTTAGTAAGTCAAGTTGTAAATAGTGACTCGACACACATAGCAGCTGCTATGCTGCACGGAATCCATATCAAGTATTTTAAAATATTTGTACGTAGGAAACTCTATAAAATAATGTTGCAAAATAGATATGTTCACTCACTAATTATCTGACATACCAACTAGCTTGAACATGTGTTTTAGATGAATTTATTGGTAGCGTCTGTGAATTTCCCAGCTAAACGCTGGTCTGTCTGGTAATAATTCGTTAGCAGGCATGCATCTGAGTCGGTCACACCTCGGAACATTCATGGATACTACCAAGAGCAGATAATACACATGTGTATTATCTGCTCTTGATACTACTGCGTTGTCACGTTGATGCGTCACAGCAACTGCCTCAGGTTATTAACCATAGCTTTTGGATGAAGGTGACGAAGGGTTGGTGATATGAACATTTGCTCTTTTAAATAAATGTATCCACTTGTGATTAGCATTCACATTTCTTACGTACTACTGTCATTTCCATTCTACCGCACGCAGCGAAACTTAGGTATTCTCTGCCAATGTACAGAAGCATGCTGAACAGCGTTCAGACACTAACATGACACATGCATGTTTCCCTCTGTCTCTCTCTCTCTCTCACGCGCTTCTCTCATTCATGATCTCCCTCTCTCACACGCTTCTATTGTTTATGCTCTCACTGTCACATCTCCTACTCTTGTATTTTTTCGCAATGCTGCTAATCTGACCGACTTACCGATCGTCTCCGACTCTCCGCCCACATCACTATAGCGCGATCGCCACCTCTGCGCATATTATTCTAGACATCTTAATGCAAAGATCACTAACTCCTACTTCATAACTGCCCGCATTAAGCCGACGCAACGCGACTTACTAAACGCATTAGCCTCGCGTGTACGAGCACGAGATTACGTACCCGGCTAATTCCAGCCTCCGGTCGTGATCGATATGCCCGATCAATGCCAAAGCTATCGGCGCGGCGACCGCTCTGAAGTGACCAGCAGTTCTGTGGTCAGCAGCGAGAGTAACGAGTACGAGCTGCCAAGTGTTTTAGTGGTTTGTCGCTCGCGTGTCATCAACATTTCGCTGATCTCGTGGGAATGCGAACGAGACACATTACGGTGTCTTCACTGTGTAGAAGAGCTGTACGTGTGATGTTCGTAGCGCGTGCGCGCGTGTACGGTAGCAGCGGAATTGCCCTCTCGCGCACTTACGCGTGCTCGCGCGGACACACATTATATCAGGAGTCTATATACACGACAACGCACACACATATATATATATACACACACGTGGCATCAATAACTTGGCGATGCTGTATCGTCGAGTGCGCGGTTCAAGGGCTGATGTAGACGGAGTGTATGGGGTCGACATAGAGAGCTCGCTAATCATAGCGCGTTGCCACTGACGTCAGGTCAAGTATGTGTGTGCGTGTGTGTTTGCCGCCGCCATCTCCGCCGGCCATCTCTAGCGATGGAGCAACGGAAGCTAGTGATAGAGTGATGGAAGGTAGTGATAGAGTGATGGAAGCCCTAGTGATGGAGCAACGGAAGGTAGTGATAAAGCGATAGAAGTTAGTGATAGAGCGATGGAAGCTCTAGTGATATAGCGATGGAAGCTAGTGATAGAAAGATGGAAGCTATTGATAGAGTGATGGAAGCCCTAGTGATGGAGCAACGGAAGGTAGTGATAAAGCGATAGAAGCTAGTGATAGAGCAACGGAAGCTAGTGATAGAACAATGAAAGCTAGTGATAGAGCAATGGAAGCTAGTGATATAGCAATGGAAGCTAGTGATAGAGCAATGAAAGCTAGTGATAGAGTGATGGAAGCCCTAGTGATGGAGCAACGGAAGCTAGTGATAGAAAGATGGAAGCTAGTGATAGAGTGATAGAAGCTAGTGATAGAGCAATGGAATCTCTAGTGATAGAGCGATAGAAGCTCTAGTGATAGAACACACACACACCACTGATCTCTATAATAATATCTATGATATTATTATAGAGTACTAGAGTACCATACTAGTATTTATACCATACTATTATACGTATTTTGATCATACGTATTTTTACCATACTAGTACTTATAGAGTACTAGAGTATAGAGTATCATAGAGTACTATGATACTCTATGATATTATTATAGAGATCAGTGACACACACACAATGGCACGCCGGTGAAAACATAACCTCCGCCACGCCCCTGGCGGAAGTAATAATCTTAATCTTAAAGGCTCTGGCACGTTAATTTTAGTGGAAAAAGGTTTATGGGGCCAAGAACAGCAATCAATTTATTTCCCCGAAGATTTTATCAATTGTTTCTGAAATATATTTTATGTTGATTAACACGGGAGGACTATAAACTACTTGAAAGAATAATTCGTGCACCGATCACGCGGCTGTGAGACGGGCGGGCAGAACAACGGGCAACACGATGATTGATATGAAGGTTTGTCGGCGACAAGAGAATTTTCTCGGCCGACGTGTTGGATTTCTAACAACGGTATGTGAGACTGTAAAGACGTCACTCGTCTATCGCTGACTTAGCGGACTTTATCTCACCAACACGTAAACCTTGCAAGAGATTCTCCCAAGCTGTGAGACACTTGATATCAGCTCGGCCGATTTTTTGTATAAACGTATTTATTTTTTAACAAGATCGCTCTCGGCATCTGCTTCCGGTAAAGAATCCCTGTTCGCGTCGTGGTGAGCGAGCTGACGATCATTGGCTGGCGCTTTCGCGTGTAACGGCAGCACACTCCGATGCTCGCGCCGACGTTAAAACATAAATAAGCAGCGTCCCCCGCGCCGGCGGCAGCTGATTTCCATCAATCCACGGCGGGGCTCCAGCGGGGCGCGTTCGACGCCGACGCGCGCTTACGGGTCTCGATTCCGGTGCCGTGAGCGAATACTCGCAATTCTTTGCGTATCAGGTGGCGGCCGTCGGACTCACGATGCTTATTCGTGCTGTACGCCCGTCGCGCGCCGAGCCCGTGAGAGCGACGAGATCGTAAACCGGTCGTGTGTTCCCTCCCTGCCGGCATCGAGCCTGTACGTGTACGTGTACGTGCTACATTCCGACCACTGGCTACCCGTGTGCGCCGTGTAGAGGAGGGAGGGTACAGGCGATCGCCGCGTACATCAAGACGCTACGGGCGACTCGCTGTTACGTTGCCAAGGCGGAGGCTGAGATCACGTGAGCAGTTTGTATGTATCGCGAGCTTAATCGAGCGGTGCCTGCATATTCGCGAAGCTGTGTGCTCTCTAGCGGACATTGCGTATTCTAGTTACACGTGGCTGATTTGTACCAGGGTGTGTGTGTGTGACTGTGTGTGTGTGTGTGTGGGTGTGTCCGGTATGGAATAGAATTTGTTTTCCAATGCTAAGCATTTATAATGGAAAATGCACCGCTATTAGAAAATCATCGCATAGCGTACGTACGAGCTTGAGGCTGCCGCATTTTCGAATGAGATTCTTGGCTTCTCGTTGTTAATATCACCGTTTACACTAATGCCGGTGTGCAAACAATTATGGGAAATGTTTTATATAGACGTTGCATTAGTACACGGGCGTAAGCTCAAGAATCAACTTGGTGTACGAAGATATAGGGCGTGTTTAATATATGTGTGCGCACGTGCGTGCCCGTGTGTGCGCGTGAGCACAGGCACTTGGACCGTTTCAATAATAAAATGATGGTTAATAAATACAACTTGTCAGTACTACTACTAGTACTAGCCCTACCAGTACCAGTACCAGCAATAGTCTTAATGTTTGATATAACTTCACTTCAACACCGTCCAATACACCGCTGCAACACATAGCCCGCACGCCATTGTGCATGCACAGATACACAGTAGGACACATTCTAACCTACTGTGTATCTGTGCATGCACAATGGCGTGCGGGCTATGTGTTGCAGCGGTGTATTGGACGGTGTTGAAGTGAAGTTATATCAAACATTAAGACTATTGCTGGTACTGGTACTGGTAGGGCTAGTAGTAGCTTCCATCTTTCTATGCCACCAGCTTTCCGTTGCTCATATCACTAGAGCTTCTATCGCTATATGCACTAGAGATTTCCATTCTCTATGCACTAAGCTTCTATCAGCTCTATCACTGAGCTCATCTTTCTATGCACCAGCTTCCAGTTGCTCTATCACTAGAGTTCTATCGCTCTACTCACTAGAGATTCCATTGCTCTATCACTAGCTCTATCATTCTACACTAGCTTCATCTTCTATCACTAGCTCCGTTGCTCTCATCACTAGGGCTTTCCACACTCTATCACAGCTTTCATTGCTCAGTCACTAGGCTTCCATTTGCTATATCACTAGCTTCCATTGCTCTATCACTAGCTTTCAATTGGTTCTATCACATACTCCGGTTGCTCTGAGTCACGTACTTCTTCGCTTTATGCACTACCGTTCCGTTGCTGCTCCATCACTAGGCTTGCCATCACTCTATCAATAGCTTCCATCTTTCTATCACTAGCTTCCCATCGCTATATCACTAGAGCTTCCATCGCTCTAGCCTATACTTTCTATCGCTCTATCACTACCTCGTCGTTGCTCATCACTAGGGCTCCATCAGACTCTAAGTCACTACCTTCCCAGTCATGCTACACTAGCTTCCGTTGCTCCATCGCTAAGATCGCCGGTCGGAGATGCGGCGGCAAACAATCACCACAGCCACATACTTGACTGACGTCAAGTGGCAACGGCGCCTAATGATTAGCGAGCTCTCTATTGTCGACCCATAACTACTCCGTCTATCAATCCTAGGCCCTTAACGCGCGCACTCGAACGATACAGCATCGCCAAGTATTGTGGCCACGTGTGGTGTATATATATATATGTGGTGCGTTGTCGTGTAGTACTAGATCTCCTGATATAATGTGTGTCCGCGCGAGCACGCGTAAGTGCGGCGGAGGGCAATTCCGCTGCTACCGTACACGCCGCACTCTAACGCTAGACATCACACTACACGCTCTTCTACACAGGTGAAGACACCGTAATGTGTGCTCGTTCGCGGATTCCGAGCGAGATCAGCGAAAATGTTGATGAACCGAGCGGTACAAACCAACTAAACACTGGCAGCTCGTACTCGTTAGCTCCTCGCTGCTGACCACAGAACTGCTGGCACTCTGCGAGAGGCGGTCCGCCGCTCCGATAGCTTTGGCATTGATCGGGCATATTCGATCAGACCGGAGCTGGAATTAGCCGGGTACGTAATCTCGTGGTCTCGTACAGCGGCGAGGCTAATGCGTTTAGTAAGTCGCGTTGCGTCGGCTTAATGCGGGCAGTTATGAAGTAGGAGTTAGTGATCTTTGGCATAAGATGTCTAGAATAATATGCCAGAGGTGGCGATCGCGCTATAGTGATGTGGGCGGAGTAGTCGGAGAACGATCGGTAAGTCGGTCAGATTAGCAGGCATTGCGAAAAAATAATCAAGAGTAGGAGATGTGACAGTGAGATGCATAA